TCATCTTTTTTCGCGAAGAGTCATCTTTTTTCCAAAAATGTCATCTTTTTTCGAAATATTATCAATTTCTTTTTAAATTTACTAATTTTTCGTTTCAATTGCTGAATTTCGTATGATTTGAATTTCGCTCAATCGCGAAATGCTGAATTACGTATACAGTAAAACCTCTCTATAACGGAATCGCATAGTGCGACAAAATTTTCCGTTATCTGGAGGTTTCCGTTTAACAGAGTTTTCGCTAAAAAGAGGTTTCAAAATCGTTATGGTCCAAAGTTTCCGCTATTTAGAGGTTCAAATTACCAAAAAGCAAATTATCTTTCTTATCTTATGACTAATCGACTAAAAAACCGGAGTTTATTCACCTCCAAAAAGTATACTTTTATATATGGCCATGAAAATATTCATCATAAAACTCTGAAAGTGAAAAGTAAGAAATAAAATGCAAACATCCAGTGAAACTATAAACAAAAAAAAAGAATCGAAAACAAAGAGCTCACAAAAGTAAATTTATGTCCCGACGACATCGTACAACGATAATTTATACACGTAATTAGTCCATGATAACATGAGCGGAGAGTTACGCAATGATATGGCAGTGGGTGAGAGCATTCGTACCTTGCGCCACACTAACTACCTAAAGATCAAGGACGATCTGATGAACAAACAGATTAGAGCTCAAATTCCACAATTGTGCAAATACGCGAACAAAGTGGCTGATCCATTCAAAAATGCAACCAGTCGCGCAAACTTCATCACATCAGTACGAAAAGAGCACAGTCCAGTTTTTAGTTTAAAGTACTGACAAATTATTTTTTTTACATCCTTGGTAAATATATAGCATTAATGAGGCAAAACTGTGATTTTTACATTAATTAATTAAAATTTAGTAACATTGACTGTGATATAGCCATCCATTGAGTTGGTGATTATTTTTGACCTGTTATTTATAATGGAATATAGTTACAATGCACGTAAAAATTAAACCAAACTAAATTGTATAAAACAAAAGATCAGGTTTTTCATGACTCTTGGAGTCATTTTCCTGCAAATCAAATTATTCAGCCAGTTTTTGGCGGTGTAAATAAATAAATAAATAAATAAATGTCGTTTTCTGACCAAATTTATAGGTTGTGTTCGGAGACTCATGTTTTTTTGGCGAAAAAATAGCAGTTTTCTCAGATCAAAATATCGTGAGAGGCTATTTTCGACCATAGCAGTCAAAAAATCGAAAAATTTGAAAAATTTTGAGTTTTGTCCCAAAATTTGTTTTTGCTAAAATTCGACGGCAAACGGAAAAAAAAATACAAATCGACCCCTCGAGGGGGGGGGGTAAATTTTCTATTCCCATCCTGAATGTTTGGAAGCCCAAAAATCAGGGCAGGTTGTATCTGGGGAGGTACCTAAACTAGGGATGGGAAAGGCTCTTCAAACCCTAACTTGTGTAAAAATTTCATTCACTTATGACCGCGTTGAAGTTTTTTATCAATGGCCCGAAAATTCGGAAATTTTAGAAATTTCGAATTTTTGGCCATCCGTACAGGGTCTCCAGAGGCAGACCCGGGGAAAATATTTTGGCTTTCTGAGTTTTTGTCCAAACCCAACTTCCGTGCAAAATTTCAGCCGATTCTGAGAACCTCATGTGAATTTTGGCTGATTTCATGTGGAATGGTGTAATGCATTAAAATGTTGTATTTGGATTATATTTTGTGATTCTATTTCGAATTCTTCGAATGTGTGTTGCGGAAATTTTTTTGTGAGTCATGCCCAAAATGGCGTCTCGGCCCGGGTGTGAGACACAGTAGTGGTCCAGTTATAAGACACTTTATGTTTTGTACTGAAAGCATATAGAAACGTCACATTTCATCATTTTTGTTGCCATAACGCATTTATATGCAATTCAAATTGTGTTTCAACTAATCTTTCCGAATTTTCAGCCATGTCTTCTCCAAAAAAGGCTGCCGAAAATAAAGAATTGAATTTCGATGCGCTGCTGCAAGCCATTAAATATTGTCTGGATGAGAAAAAAGCTATCATATAATCCGGACATCTTTACTGACGCTGACTTTGTCCAAGCCGTTGAACAAAATGAGAAGGAAGCGGCTATTGATTCTGATCTTCCCGAAGATGAGCATTGACGTATTGTTTTTAACAATGCCATTGATGTTGTTGGTCGTGAAGAAGAGGTGGTAACATCTGAGCCCTCTGAACTATCCAGCTTGATGTCACTAATGTCTCTTGCGAGCAACACTTCGTCGGTTTTGGATGCGATTGGCTCTCTGTAAGGCACTACTCCAGAACCAAAGTCGAAACGTTGACTTCTCCGCAAACCATGGCTGTTTTGGAGCAAAAAGCAGCAGAGAAAGCGGAAAAAGCAGCAAAGAAGGCCACGCCAAAGAAGTCAACACCGAAGAGAGCAACATCGAAAACAACACCACTGGCCAAGCACCGCAACAACAGAAAAATCACCACCGTCCGATGATGACACAGTCTTTTGCATCATTCGCTTGAAGCTGTTGCCGAACAACTTGACCGCTGCAAACTCTATTCGATGCAACGAATGTAAGCGGCCAGTCCATTTGAAATGCGCTGACATGCGGACAAGTTTCTTCACTTGCAAACATTGCGATACCGACAATGAAGAAGAAGACGAATGAAAATTGATATTTCTTTGTCATTTAAAGCCATTGAAGGCCCATTTTTTATTATTTTAGCCATTGAAGGCCTTTAAAATTAATAAACATTTATATTTCAACATTTTATGATGAGTTTTCTTCTTATTTTCCCATTTCTATTCAATTTTTCTGTGTGTCTCACAACTGGACCAAAATATTTTTGGGGCCAAAAAACTAGTCCTCACAAAATTGGTCAAACATTTTTTCGAGTAACTGGAATCACTATACTTTCTTCGGAAAAAAGTTGCGTTCGGACATAAGCATAGAACTCCAACTTATCATTTTTGAAAGCCACAGAATTTTTTTTAGGTCAAAAACAAAACCCGTCTCACAACTGGACCATCTCCCTTACTATGCACAGCGAGATTGAGAGTAGTGTATGTTTCACTGACTTTGTTATGAAAGAGAAGAGTAAGTTTCTTTCGACTTAAAAATGGTCAAAGGCGAGTATGTTCATTTTTGGCGGGTCGTCACGGTTTTTTGCAGTTTTCGTAGAACTGATAAGAGATAACAACTTATTCTCTTTGGCAATGTATTAGTACTCGAGGTCTTCTATTTATAACTTAGCTGAAGACAGTTATCTCTTATCTGTTCAGCGAAAAGCGCAAAAAATGATGAAAAAAAAGTTCTATATAAATTTTGCTTTTTTAATTGCGCGATTTGCGCGAAACTGATGAGAGATAAGAAATGACTGTCTTCAGCTAAGTTATAAAGCACCTCGAGAACTACAACTTTGCCGAACACGCCTTGTTGTGATCTCTTATCAGTTGCGCGAAAACCGTGAAAATCGCGGAGGCTGGACGGTACTACAACATACTCTACTTTAACGCCAACAGAATCATCAGAAAACATACTCGCCTTATTAAAAATATAAATCGAAGAAAAAACATAGGGTAGGGAGGGGCTAACTCGTACACGGGGCTAAGTCGTACACTTGACATAACTCAGCACTGCTTTGTCGTATCGAACTGAGAGTAGGCTCTGTGAACTCGCCTTAACGAGTTGCATGGTTGGCTAGTGTCAGATCTCAATGTTGACAGTGTTAGTATAGTAGTAGCAATCGTTGAGTGAAGACGTATGTTTTTTTTCATCAAAAGTAAATTTTTTTTCTTCACATTTTTTGGGTTGTATCATTTAATTTTGTGTGTATCAACAAACGGGTAAGTGCATTTTAAAGAGGAAGATGATCTACATACAATTAGACTAGTGATTTTGTGAATAAAGTGTGAAAAAAAAATTGTGCTGTTGCTCGAAGTCAAAATGGCGGAGCGGGGCTAACTCGTACACTTTTGAGTGGGGCTAACTCGTACAGCTTGATTTTTTGTTTTCATACAAACAAACGTTTCTGAGCCACTGCATACACATTCAGAACTGCTTACAAGGCATTTTTTACCATTATATTGTGTTGTTTCAGCAAAATGGTTCGCAACTATAAGCGAAAAACACAAGAAATAGACAAAGAAAAGATGAAGTTGGCCGTCCTTTCTGTCCGACGCGACAAATTATCAGTGCGAAGAGCCGCTGAATTATATAGCACCAAGAGCAACGCGTTTCACCTTACCAGCAAATTTGGACAAAATTGAAGCAGGGCCAAGCAAATCAACAAAGCGTAAGCGCACATCTGATTCAGATGAAGATGATTTGGAAACCACTTGTTGCGTTTGTTGCGATAAATTGCTTAAAGGTCAGCGGTTCAAAGTGTGCATCGAATGTCGTCGCAAAGCCCACACTGATTGCGTGCGAACAAGCGACAACATCTTCACATGCATCAACTGTTTCTCCGAGCTAGACGAGGACAGCGATAGCAATTAAAACAAACAAAAAAAAATCAAATTTTTTTTTTCATTTTCAAAATCTCAATTTTTTTTTTCATTTTCGTAATCTCATTAAAATCACTTCATTTTCTATAGAACATTAAGCGTATTTGTAATCCAAAGTCTCAGCAATAGATCAATAAATAATTATATTCCATTTTAAAGTTGATTGAAACGTATGTTTGCGAGTTATTATAGGCAAAATTGTCACTGTACGAGTTAGCCCCACCCCCTGTACGAGTTAGCCCCACCATTTTTGGAATTTTCAATTTTGAGGTGCCCACCTAATCACCGTCATAACTTCGAAACTATTGCACCAATTCATATATCAACACAAGCGTTTTGTAGCTGAAGCCTCAAGCTTTAAAATGGTGTATAAGACTTGGGGATACAATGAAGTTATGAGTGACTTTTTCTCTCTAAACCAAAAAGTGTACGAGTTAGCCCCTCCCTACCCTACTCCACTCTCACCCTCAGCCATAGATATAAAATTCAACCACTGCGATTTGCATACCTTAGAATTGCCACTTTACTGTGAATGCTCCCTTGACGTGAAAGATGTTGTTGCTGACTTCGAAATTTAGAAGAAATGTATCTGATAATGAGAGAAAAATGTTAATCATTCATATCAACTTCTAATATAAATCCAAGCATCAGAATAAAAACGCCGTAAGATATGCGCACGCGTTGAAGCGTAATTGAAGAACATTTTTGCGTCAGAACGGAACATGTATTATCTTTATAAGAGGAATGCAGAACACCATATTTTCGCATACAGTCACTTCCGTAAATGTAACGACAAAATTTAGTTTCTCATTGTTCTACGACTGGTCAGGACCAGGCGTTGCGCAGGATCAAAATACGTGAGAAAATCAAACGTCGTTTTATTCTTACACGTTCAAATGTTCATGGTATATACATACTTGATTAAACTAAGTGTGTCTTTGTACATGGTAAACGCTGCCTTTTCCGTAACTGCATCTCGCTCCATCGCAACACTGGTCAGCAAGAAATATACAGCTGCTTCCAAATACAGAATAGCCTGTGACAAATGATCCGTTTCGGCATCTGCTGCGTGTTTCAGTCTCTTTGCTTCTGATAACGAACGATGATGATCTCTGGGAAGGCAAAGGAAAAATCATCAGAATGCACTAATTCAGTAGAATAACTAGATGCTTACTTCATTTCTCTTATTTCGTCCCTTTCGTCGTTTGTACGTTCAAAATAGGAATAATATACTTTTGTAATGAGAGGTTTCTGGGGTGGTGGCGGCAAAATATCAGAGTCTATTCTATCGTGATTTGTGGGTGGCAAAAGATTTGGGTCAATTAAATCATCGACCATCTTTTTCCTTTTTTTATCTTTATATGGACTACTATTTGCACTAGATGCTCTCTTTTTACGATTGCTTGTCGTCAACTCTTCCACTCCCGATAATTTGATATCATCATCATTGCCATTTTCCATCTTAATTTTATCATATTCTCTTTTTATATTTGCACTCGTATTTTTCACATCACCATTGTAACTTAATTTTTCAAGCGTTTTATCGTCGATAACAGCTTTGGGAGATTTCATTATTCGATTAGTAGTGTTGCATTCGATGCTCGAAAATTCAGTTTTCAAATTTTCACGTTTCATCTTCATATGCTTCTCATCTAACTTTGGTGAACGTGAGAAAGAACCAATATTCCGTGTTATAGTTGAGTCCTTGTTGTCGGAGTTGCAATCGCAATATTTTGCATATGCCACTGAATTATACGACGACCCATGCTTTGAACTATTTTGAGTTGTTTCTGGCATATTTTTTGTAATTTTTTTATCTTTTCTTTGTTTCAAATGTCTTCCATGATCATATGCTATTCCACCATTTCGCTCCTCTTCATTAATTGCATCTGAGTCTCCACTATTATCAACGCTGCTTCCACTACTTGTACTATCGTGTGAGCTCACCCAATTTGGATATCTACTACCATTTTGTGTACTCTGTCTTTCAGCCTGAAATTTAAGAAAAATTAAAAGTTATCTCATCAACATGGGAAGTACCAATTTCAAACAAAAATTGTAGCAACTAACGGCACGCACAAAGTTTGTGCCATAAACGAAGAGTACAACTTATGATCTTCTCTGTCTTTTCCGCTCAATGTTGAGTTGTATTACTTTTGCTTGCAACTTCATATGTTTCTTTTTTTCCCATAGCAGGTATAGAAAAAGAACCTATGTTAACTGACCAGATCTCCTATATTTAATGTTATGATGAATTCATATGTGAAATTTGATACCAATCAAGGAATTTAATATTTTTAGTGCATAAAGTGGGCGAAATAACGCATAAACAATTTGATGTCCGTGAACATCAATATTGGTGACAAGCAAGCTTCATTTTTTCCACTACGAAGTACACGGGCGCTGCTTGTATGAAATTTCGTTTGTATGGTTCATGTCGCTCGGATGCTTTGCAAATGCTGTTTGGTATTTTTTCTGGTTCGGCAGAATACAAAAATTACTGTTTACATACAATGTGTCACCGTAGCACTTGTTTCAAAGGAAATATTTCAAAAACAATTGCTGCGAATTCGATTTCTCGCTAATTTCTTGATAGTTCGCGAGAGTACGAATTCTTACTCATACTAACTTATGCATAATGACAATTGATTTATCATTTGTTTCGTATTGTGCAATGTCTTGGATTATCCACTTGGACATACATTTAAGTATTATAATATCCAAGACAAGGGCTGTTTTTTACTCAGGACAAATTTTAGACATTTTTCAAATTGGGCCGAAAGGATTTTTGGTCGTTATGGCTCCGGATCGATAGCCCCCATACCTAGGTTAAATTGGAACTCTTATGTGGAAGATTTATTTTCGGATAATTTTTGAAAAAGAGTTCCAATTTATCCTACCTATTGTTACAGATTTGCATTTTGCCGTAACACATTAATATTGTAACGAAGAGCCAAAGTAATGCTTTTAAAATTGTAATGCCAAAATTTAGCATTACCGGTAATGTGTTACAATTGTAATAGCTATTACTTGACCCGTTCTGTAAAAGCTTTTTTCACTTGAGAAAAAAAAATTCTGTAATGCCACGTAACATGTTACATTTGGCATTACATTGCGTGTGTAATGTTAGAAAATCACATTAATAATGCTAAAAAATCACATTAATAATGCTAAAAAATCACATTAATAATGTTAGATTTCTGGCATTACCGTTAATGTTAGGTAACATGTTAATATTGTAACGAACGGGTCAAGTAATAGCTATTACAATTGTAATGCCAAAATTTAGCATTACCGATAATGTGTTACAATTGTAATGCCAGTCATTTGGCATTACCGGTAATAGCTATTACCAAATAAACCACCTCTGGCGAAGAAACGCTGTATGGTGCAGAATAATAATAATAATAATAATAATAATAATAATAATAATAATTGTAATAACATTATGGGAAATTTTTGTTAACGTAATGCTACTACCTATTACATTTTAATGCCGGTAAATCTGTACCTATTGGGGGCTATTGATTTGAATAAATGGTGGCTAATGCTCTAATTTTGTGCGATCTACCGAGCCATAACGACCGAGAATCATATCGGCCCAATTTGGAAAATTTCGAAAATTTATCCTCGTATAAATCTTCCACATAAGAGAGCCAATTTGACCTACCTATGGGGCTATCGATCCGGATAAATGGTGGTAAATGGCCTAATTTGGTGCAGTCCAGCGAGCCATAATAACCAAAAATCCTGTCGGCCCAATTTGAAAAATTTCAAAAATTTATCCTGAGCAAAAAAACAGCACTTGTCTTGGATACCAAGGAATTTAATATATTATCGGAAATATTGAAACATTTTTGACATTTTTCATTGATCCTATGTTTCTCCTATGAAAAAATTGTGGGCTCCTATATTCTCCTATATTTTTTTTCTCATTTTGGGGAAAATCTACTATATTTTCGAAAAAATGATCTGGTCACATTACCCATAAGTTGTACTCTTGCTTTGTGCGTGTTGTATACATATATTGGATATTACCACGAATTGCACATCAACGTTGTTTGGACTTTTATTATTGTTATTTAAACGACTGTTTCGATCGCCTGGAATTCGAGAAAGTCTCGAGAGATCGATTTTGCATACGATTGGAATCGCCGTGACAAGTTTATTATTATTGCTGTTATTTGTAATCGCAACTGCGTAACAGTCCCGCGTAGCGCTTGTAACTGATTTTTGTATATCATCAGAATGACCTATAATCATAACTTGACCTTTGCCTTTGGCCCCTCCATCACCTTTTGACACATTCAGAAAAATATTTCGAACAATTTTGTTTTTCTGCTCACTTTTACCAATTTTGTTTGCTTTTTTATTGTTTTTAATACTTTCGTCGCTTTCTTCTGAAGACGAATAACGCAACTGAGTTTCTTTCGATATTTTTTCATTTTTTGCCTGAAAAATAAAGCATACGATTAAAATTGAGTTTATAAAATTAATAAATAAGAACCATCATATAGTGGAAAACATGTTTGATTTTGATAGTTTGATTTTAAATATATTGTATAGTTGTTATCACGGAGGACGATAGTCCGACAAGTGACGCTCCAACAACTGTGCATTTCAAGCCAAATATCAAAAATGCCAGTTTTTGCGTCACGAGTATATACAGTAAATATGCTATTTTCTCAGGGCACTATTTGGGCCCCGGCATGTTAGGTACCGTTCGAAAGGTCTTGGCCCAAATAGTTGGAAACACCATATCCCCCATGCCTAAAGTGTGGTCTAGACAAAAATATAGCGGTTGGAAAATTTCGATAAATTTTCAAATCTATACCCATATCTTACGAGGGGGTATCCAGGGGGTGGTCTGAGGTGTCCAAGAGAAGCTCCTCCTCGCCACCTTTACAACGCCGGTCTAAGTGCCCCGATTGGTCCAAAAACGAAAAAGTTATGGGCATTGGCAGTTTGATCTTGATTTTTTAGTATTGATTTGTGCGTCCGTTCGTTCGTTCGTTCGTTCGTCTGTCCGGAAACTTTTTAGACCCCCACAGATTCCGGTGCCAATATGCCTAAGCTGTAGCTGGTGTCGGGCCACATCGAAACCCGTCCTCAGATTGACATTTGCATTACAGGAGAGCTGGCTATGGCTTCACTAGCCTGCATGTATACGATTTTTTCAAGTATTTATTACGCACACTAGATCAACTCAGACACCCATCGGGCAAACTCAGCTCGTAATTATTTGAGAAGACCTTCAAAAAGTTCCATACATACATGCCGAAAAAGTCGATTTTTATGAAAAAACGACCCCCTTAAATTTCACACCAAACGCGATTCCTCAAAAATCAGCCCGACAATCTTTTACCAAAAACTGAGCGTTTGTAGCCGGCTACCATACCAACAAAATGACATATGCCACATATCCGAGAAAATTCGTATTTCGAAGTTCTGGGCATAGGCAATTCATCAATGAACGGAATTTGTACGAAGAGTCGCATTCTACGATGAAATTGCTGCCAAAAATACGCATTGACTGGCTAGAAAGGCTCACGAAAGATCATACCCGCTTAATTTTCGACGAGCAATCGATTAAAAGTGGTCACGATGCGATCTGAGGGCATTTAATGGTCGAAAAATAGGTCGGATTGAAGTGAATTCTTCAACTTGCTCTATTTTCACTGAAAATGACATTTTTGTACGGAAAACACGTGAAATAGACCTCTGATCTCGTTTTGGTCTTAGAAAACTGCTATTTTCTCGTGAAAATAATGGGAGTCCACGAACACTTGAATATCCATTTCGTTGTCATTTTGGTCATAAATCGGCATTTTGGCATCTGAATGTATGAAATTGAACTTTTGCTCGGGGGATACATAAAAAATGCACTTTCCAGAGCTTTGGTGGCTGGGAACTAATATTTTTTAATGAAATAATGAGAATCCAAAATCGTTCCAACACTATTTTTTATGGATATTTTGAAATTTAATCATATTTTACCGCATTTTATAATGTGCAATTAGAGGAAATTGGGACTTTTTCAATGGTAGTGGAAATTAGATAGTGCAATCTCCAGAACTTGTGAAATTAGAATGCCAATGTGTTACCCAGAAAATTGCAATTTCCTGATAATAAGACCTTAAAATAGACATACTTCTAGATAAAAATGTATTTTTCCAAAAAAAAGCCTTACAAAAGTAGTGATATCAGATGTAAAACCTCTAGACGAGGTTGAAATGGAGTGACGCTCCGTGCGTGGATTTACCACTCAAAATGACTGATATCATTTTGAGTGACGCTTTAACGCTGTATTACTGGGAACGAAGTTCAAAAGTGTT